AGCATCTCATATTTTACCTGTTTGTCAATTGATCAACTCATCGCAGTAAAAAATAAAAATAAAAACATATAGATTGTTTTTATTTAAAAAAAAAAGTAAAACACTTGTGTTTTTAAAAAAATTTTAGTCTAATAATATCTATGTATTTTGTAATGTTCATTAGATTAATTTTTATAATTAATTTTTTTTAAATCTTTTAAACAAACATTTTATTACAACAATTACAATAGGAATGAATGATTTAAAACCATTTATAATAATTTTATAAGCGCTTATTAATAAAGTTGTAATGCTCAAATTAAAATTATTTATATTTTAATTATATATACTCAAGTTTATAAAAAACTTAAATTGTGAAACTTAAAATTAAATTGTGCGTTCATTTTAAATTAAAAAGCAGTTTTCTGTTTTGTACAAACAATAAACTTAAAAGCTAGGAACAAAAATTGTGTTACATAGTGTTATTTAAACAAATATCACTAATGAATGTTCAGAGTTGAATGTTAACCAGTTATTAGGTTACCTCTTATATAGAGTTAATACGCAAAATAATAAGACTGTTGCAATGCACTATTTAAAAACCATATGGAAACAATAAATACCTTTAACACAGATGTATCCATAGTTTTATTGCATTCCCTAACACTAAGTAGGGAGCAAATGAGAAAATTAGGGTTTTTTTTTTGCTTCAAAAGGTACCAATTTTTAATAACCAACGAGTTACTTAAAGGAACAAAAAATCTTTGTTCTACAATTTACCATTTTTTGGATGCAAAAGGTTTTTCTGTTTAATACAAAGAACTTGTAAGAATGACGATTGATTCTGTTTTGAATATAATAAAAGATTCTTTTAATTCAGTTAATAGTAATGAGAATCAAATGTATTTTAAAGATGGCTGTGACGGAACAGGGCAATAAGCATCAGTGAAGTCAAAGAAATGATTGAAAGCAAATCAAATTTCTTTTAATATGGTCTTGCTCCCCTGAAACTAATATGCTATCAGAGTAGTAAAAATATAACATTGTGAAAAAATTTTTTAACCGAATGCTTTGAGATTATTTCCTGTGTTTTTAATAAGGGAAACAGAAACTAACCAAGATTTACTTGTTCTTATTGTCCTAACTATTGATAATGCACAAAAAGAATTTAATCCCAAAGGAATATGTTGTCAGTTTAGTAAATATGTCAAAATTTAAACTCATAATACAATGATGGATTTAAAATTTAAACAACTCATCGGCAGACTAGGAGGTGCAGATTTTATACTTTGCATAACAAAAACTGCTGAATGGACAGATATTGAGAGTGTTATAGAAGGATTCCTGATCTATCAATCATCAGAAGAAACATGGGTGTTGTATAAAAAACTAGTTAATGAGGATGGTATCATTCCTACTAATACTGAAGATTTCATAAAAGATTGACTAAAAAACCGCAAACTAAATCTGATCAAAAGATGTAAATGAAACAACCTGGTTTTTAAACAAACAGATGTGTACACTCTGTTAACGGAGTAGTTTTTAAAACTACTGTATCAGTATCACAAAAAGACTTTCAGTTGAATAAACAGGATTAAACTTGGTGAACCATGTTCAAATTAGCATACAATCAGATCTCATAAGTGTATGTTTTTGAAACCAAAGAGATATTTTGATATGTTTGAAAGCCTTACATATGATTAGTTATAAAGCTTGTTAAATTAAATTAAATATTTTTTACTGTTAATTTAAATTAAATGTTAAATTAAATAATTTTTACTGCTTTCACTTTTTATAACTCTTTTCTTGTAATTTTATTTATACCAATGTTATTTTTTATTTATACTAATGTTATTTTTTATTTATACTAATGTTATTTTTTATTTATACTAATGTTATTTATACTAATGTTATTTTATACTGTTATTTTTATTTATAATGTTATTTTTATTTATACTAATGTTATTTTAAATCCAAACTTTATCAAATACTTTTAAGTACTAAACTTCTTATCAATAAACATTAGGAGTCATACCCCCAAGTTAATTATTGTTTTGAAATATCTTTTCTTAAGGTATATCTAATAAATTACTCTTTTAGCTGTAATCTAAAAAAAAAATAACTTTAAATATTTATCAAAAAACACAAAGGTCAAAATCCCCAAATATGGTAATTAAATCCCAGTCCACAAATTTAGTTTAATATTATAAATTTTATGTTTTCATATAACCAACAAAAAAAATTTCAAACTGTTCTCAATGAGTTTTTTAGGATTTCTTAATCATTAGTTTTGATTTCCAAAACTTTTGGCTCCGCTGTGTTATATATAAATTAGTAGTAGATTTATCCTATATTTTTTATACTCCCTTCACTTTCCAGAATGCAAAGAACCATAATAGGGTACTGAAGTTTAGGCTCAAATTTGGGCACCTAAACCAGTATACCGGTGTCAAAATCTGACTGAATACTTAACTGACTAATCATAGTAAGATTCATACTTTTTTTCAGTGTCTAAAGTAAAGAAAAAAATTTGAAATGATATATCTAATGCTTTATTAATTTCAGTTTCAGAAAAAGTTAAATCCTAACAAGTAGCTATTAACAAAAATCCGCGCAAATCTTAACAAGTAACTATTAACAAAAATCTCCCTAACTACTCCGTTAACGGAGTATACACATCTGTTTGTTTAAAAACCAGGTTGTTTCATTTACATCTTTTGATCAGGTTTAGTTTGCGGTTTTTTAGTCAATCTTCTATGGAATCTCCAGTATTAGTAAGAATGATAGCATCCTCATTAACTAGTTTTTTGTACAACATCCATGTTTCTTCTGATGATTGATAGATCAGGAATCATTCTATAACACTCTCAATATCTGTCCATTCAGTAGTTTTTGTTTTGCAAAGTATACACCATATCTGCACCTCCTAGTCTGCTAACTATCCATAAGATTTAGACGCAGTTGATTTTACAATCAACATGTAGATACATCAACTGAGGGTTTTGGTTTGGTCAGATTAATTATATTATTCATAAGTTCAAAATAACAAATAGTTTACATTTTTTTAAACAAAATTAGCAATTCAAATTTGTTGCTTGTTGTAAGTTGAATGAAGGCATTTAGTTGCTTTTAAAAAGTCAGGGCTCAGTTCAGATAAGGTTTTACAGTAACTACTTTTTTACAGAAAATTGACATGAGACAATCGCAAACAGTAAATTGTGAATTATTATATTAAAAGTTTGAACTGAAGAGTTAACAATATTTTTATCTATTATCCTTCTCCATATTAGTGGCTTATATATTGGTGGTTAAACTTTTTTTTTTTTCTAGTTATCTAATTTTTTAAATGGTTGCCTCAATGCAAATTTATATTTAGTTTCTTAGTGTTACTTTAATATTAGATTTTTGTTTGTAGTTTTTTTTATTTAGTATTTACTATTATTTTATTTAGTGTAACATTTATCTTGTGTAGGTGTATTTACCTTATTGGTGTTTATCTTTTTTTGCAAATGCTGTTTGTAATTATTCAATTACAATTGTAATTATTTTTTTTTTACATTTTTCAACATCTCTCCTTATAACAAATGTTTTTGTTATAATTGTGAGAAATTAACACAAAAAGGTAGTAATACTATAAATCAAATTTCTAAATCTTATAAGTTGTTCCATTGTTAATAGAATTTTAGAAAATCTTTAACAATCTCATTAATAAAAGCAAGTCTAATATTTGATCTCATATATGAACCTTATTATGACTCATCTAACTGTTTTTTTAATATTATTTTATATTTTTCTTACTATTATTAGTGAAGTCTTACATCTTATTAAACTTTAATATCTCATTTTGAGTTCAATAACTTATTTTCTGACCAATATAGATTTTGATGGTTTGTAATAATAGTTAGTAATATATATATTAAATACATATTAAATGATATTTTGTATTTGTAAATAAAATACAAAAACTCTTGTACTTATAAGAGTGCTCAATAATAAACAAATAGGATTTATTTATTTAATAGAGCATTTTATATATATATATATATATATATATATATATATATATATATATATATATATATATATATATATATATATATATTTATTTATTTATTTGTAAACAAAAAAAATACAACTTTTTATGGTACTAATAGTTTCATCCCTACAGGCAATCATCGGCCATGTAATACAAAATTAAGAAATCAAAAAACCGATAAAATATAAAGTTACAATGAAGTGTGCTCCGTTGTCATAATAACAAACAACAGAAAGAAAAAAGAAAAAAAGTAAAAACTATAAACGGCTGCCTAATCACCCGAATCAAACTTTGAAAGAAGAAATTTGCTTTTATGTCTATATTTAGAAACTAATTCATTTCTCTTATTTAATAAATTATCATTGGTATAAGATGTTTTGGATAAGTTTAGGAATATAGTTAAGTTTAAATTTGTAAGCAGACTTTTTTACCCAGACTTTTTTACAAATTCAAACTATATTCCAAAACTAATTCAACCTCTATCAAAAAATCGGAAGCATAATATAATTGTACTAATAGTTTTTAATAATATTAATAGTTTGTAACTTTTAATGGTACTAATAGTTTCATGCCTTTAGGCATGAAACTATTAGTACCATTAAAAGTTGTATTTTCTCTGTTTACAAATTTATATATATATATATTATATATATATATATATATATATATATATATATATATATATATATATATATATATATATATATATATATATATATATATATATATATATATATATATATATATATATATATATATATATATATATAACTGTTTAAAAAGTTATTGCCAGCCAGTTAAACTGATTATATTTAGTATTTTTCTTTTGCTTATTTATTTTATTTGTTTATTTTTATTTCATTTATATATTTTTTAGAATTCTATTATGTTATTTCTATGTACCATTCTTTGTTAGATAGAAAAAAACTTTTTAAATAAAAAAAATTGAAATAATATTTTTGAAAAATTTTTGATTTATTTTTAGTGAGTTCAACAGTTTCAAAGAAGATACAACACAAATAAAACAAATACCAAGATATTCATCCACACCTTTCAATGGAACTCAAAATAAATTTATATCTTTTGACTGCAGTAAATTTCAGTTTGATGGACATACTGAAAATATTGCATTTGACTACACAAAAAATGAAAATAAAGCAGAACTTTCAATAATTAGTGAGCGTAGTAAAGAAGACACTGGTGGATCAGATGATTCAGGATCAAAAACGTCGTTATTTAATAATGAGACTGGTTATCAATATATAGAAGCTTTTAAAAAAGATTTTTTAGAAGCAAGTTTAAAGGCTGCAATGGGATACATAACTCAATCGGTTAGTTTTTTGAATATAAATGGAAAGCTACCAAAGCTACAGGGAACAGAAATGGAATTGAATTTAGGTACATTTTAAATATATTGATAACATTTTTGTTGAACTTATCTCTCCATAAATTGTACTTATTTCATGAAACATGTTGCGCATTATGTTATAGTGTAAGTACAATTGTACATTTTAAAGAATTTACTCTTTTATTTAAAAAAAAAAAGACTTTAAATGTAAATTAGGTTATTATTTATTTAAGCTTCATTTATTCTTTAAATATTTTTAATATTTTTATCCTTAAGTTTGAGAAATTTGTTTTTATTTTAAAATCGCTTGTAAAACTTCAGGTCAAGTCAAGATTAGATCATTATCACCCTATTCATTAA